ACCAATTCACTGCAAGAAACAAACCAACTAATGTACAGCACAGCTGCAGTTATAACAGAATACCTGGGATAAAAAAAAAACAAAGAAGAAAAACAAACAAACAGTGCACCAGAAAAATGGAAGGTTAGACTAGAAAATAAGATCAGCAAGTTAAGATCACATACAAGCAAGGAAGATCAAGGAAGCACTGGAAATAATAAAGCAACAAATAACAGCTATAGCCAGGAAAATCAGTAGATATGAAGCTCGAATTGCAAACTATAGGCAGAACCTCCAATTTCAATCCAATCAAAAACGTTTCTACCAATCCATCAATGGAGAAACTGCAAGGAATCAGGCAGTACCTGACAAGGAAGAAACAGTGCAGTTCTGGAAGCAGATATGGGATAACCCAAAGAAATACAACAAGGATGCGGCTTGGTTAAAAGAGGTGGATGCAAATAAAACAGAAGTTGAAATGAAAGAACTAGTACTAACAACAAAAATGGTAGAAAAAAGAGCAAAGACAATCAAAAATTGGTCAGCACCAGGTGAAGATGAACTGCATGGGTTTTGGTTGAAACATCTAACTGTTATACACCCACTCATTGCCAAGCAGTTCAACAATATACTACAAGGAGGAGAAATTGAAAAGTGGCTAACAACTGGGAAAACCTACCTAATAATGAAAAATCCAGCAAAAGGGGCAACACCAGGCAACTACAGGCCAATTACCTGCTTACCAACAACTTTCAAATTACTAACTGGTGTGGTAGCTGATGCAGTACAACAGCATCTAGTTGAAAACAATCTCTTTCCACCTGAGCAGAAAGGAAACCGCCCCAATAGCAGAGGAACAAAAGATCAACTCCTATAGACAAAATGATCTTGGAAAACTGCAAGAGAAGGAAGACCAACCTGAATGTGGCATGGATTGACTACAAAAAGGCATTTGACTCTCTGCCACATGATTGGATAATAAAGTGCCTAGAAATAACAGGAGTCAGTAGAAACATCAGAAAATTTGTGCAAAGATCGATGGCACAATGGAAGACACAGTTGCAGATCAATGGTGAGAAGCTGGGAGAGGTTAATATCAAGAGAGGAATATTTCAAGGAGATTCATTATCACCATTACTATTTGTTATTGCACTGTTTCCTCTGTCAACAATACTGAATAACTCAGGACATGGCTATCAAACATCAAAAACATCTGCCAGACTATCCCACCTCCTTTACATGGATGATCTGAAGCTGTATGGAAAAACATCATCTGAAATAGAATCGCTGCTCAACACTGTCCGTATATATAGCCAAGATATTGTAATGGAGTTTGGCTTGGACAAATGTGCCACACTTACTATCAAACAAGGAAAAATAGTGAAAACTGAAGGAATCAAGATGCCCCACGAAAATAACATTAAGAGTCTGGATGAGGAAGAGTACTACAAATACTTGGGTATCCTTCAAGCTGACAACATCAAGCACACTGAAGTCAAGAAAAAGATTAGAGGTGAATACATCAAGAGAGTGAAGAAGATCTTAAAGTCCAAACTCAATGGAGGAAATACCATAAAGGCAATCAACACCTGGGCAATCCCAGTCATTAGGTACACAGCTGGAATAGTGGACTGGACTCAAGCAGAACTAAAAGCAATGGATAGGCAGACCAGAAAAATAATGACAATGAATCACGCCCTTCATCCACGCAGTGACATTGATAGACTTTATCTACCAAGGCAAATAAGTGGGCGTGGAATGCTACAAGTACATCAGATGGTTGAAGAAGAAAAAATGGCTTTGGAAGAATATCTGAAGAACAATGATGAAGATGCACTGAAATTAGTATATCAGGAAGGCTTACTAACTACTGGAGAGACCAAACTGGCCTACAAGAAAGACCAAATGAAGAACAGAATAGAGGCATGGGAAGACAAAGCACTACATGGCCAATACATGAAAAAAATAGCTGGGAAAGCAGATAATAATAAAACCTGGCAATGGCTAAGAGCAGGAAAATTGAAGAAAGAGACCGAGGGACTAATTCTGGCTGCACAAGACCAAGCCTTAAGGACAAATGCATACAAAGTCAAAATTGAGAAGACAGCAACAGACAGTAAGTGCCGCCTATGCAAAGAAGCTGAAGAAACAGTGGACACTTGGTAAGCTGTTGCAAGAAGATTGCACAAACTGATTACAAGCAGCGGCATGACAAAGTAGCAACAATGGTGCATTGGAAGATCTGCAAAAAATATCATTTGCCTGTAAGCAAAAACTGGTGGGATCATAAAATAGAGAAAGTCATAGAAAATGATAAAATTAAACTGCTCTGGGACTTCAGAATTCAAACAGACAAGCACCTGCAGCATAACACCCCAGACTTAACAATTGTCGATAAGAAAGACAAAAAAGTCTGGATAGTGGATGTGGCAGTGCCTGGAGATAGCAGAATAGAAGAGAAAGAACTGGAGAAGATAACAAAATACAAAGACCTACAAATAGAAATAGAAAGACTGTGGCAAAAGCAAGCAAGGGTAGTACCAATAGTCATAGGCTCCTTGGGTGCAATCCCAAAACAACTGGAGCACCACTTGAACACAATTGGCATTGACAAATTCGCTATTAGTCAATTGCAAAAGGCGGCCTTATTAGGAACTGCTTCCATCCTGCGACGATATCTGTAATACCATCAAACATCCACATCTGCCTATCCCAGGTCCTGGGTAAGGACTCGATAGGTAGACAAAATGCCAAATCCAGTCTGAACATCTGGCTGACTGTGCGATGATCCATAATAATAATAATAGTAAAGTTGGAAGGGACCTTGGAGGTCATCTAGTCCAACCCCCTGCTCAGGCAGGAAACCCTACACCATTTTGGATAAATGGCTGTCCAGTCTCTTCTTAAAAACTTCCAGTGTTGGAGCATTTACTGCTTCTGGAGGCAGGTTGTTCCACTGATTAATTGTTCTCACTGTCAGGAAGTTTCTCCTTAGTTCTAGGTTGCTTCTCTCCTTCATTAGTTTCCATCCATTGCTTCTTGTCCTGCCTTAGGTGCTTCGGAAAATAGCTTGATTCCCTCTTCTTTATGGCAGCCCCTGAGATATTGGAATACTGTTAACTCAGTACTTATTTAAATGACAGCCCTGGCAATGACAGCATCAGCAACAAAGGAGAAGTGCTTTTTTTACTTATACAAAAAGACATACAGTTAGGGTCAAGATTAGGGTTGACATGTTTTATCCAAATGGAGCCCAACTTTCATTTGATTATTAGGCTTCCTTTGAATGCATCCAGATTGGAAGTGCTGGGCATACAGGGTGTAGGCTCAGGTTGTTTTTCTCTCCTCAAGGATATCTGCCTAGGTTAAATAGAGTGGGCACATTCCAAGGTCCATCCCTTAAGTGTTGTCATTTGATGGGACATAGGAATCTGTTATATGGATTGATTGATTGATTGATTGATTGATTGGCAATGGTAGGTTAGGTTCTTGATTGTTGTTTTTTTTTGGTTTTTATTATTGTTGTGAGCCACATAGAGTTGTGTTTTAAAAGGTAGGCAGACAAATAAAGGAATGAATAAAGTATGCTGCTTGGGTTAACATCGAATAGTTTGAAGCTTCTGAATTTCTCAAGTCTTAGAAATAATTTCTACCAGCAAATTGTGGAACACTTTTTCCCCCCACCAAGGATAATTTAGAAGCAAGGATCCAGGCAATTGCTTAGATTGTTAATTTCAGGGTTAGTTGGTTATTTATTGAATTATCCAGCCAGCAACTACAGCAAATAGCACAAAAGGTCCATGATGTCTTCCATGCAAGTGATTTACAGAATCACCCAGCCATTGCTTTAGGAATACCAACCCTCTCATATTAGTGTTTTATCATCATAGAAATGTTTCCAGATGACAGTTTATATCACTGGTGGAGATTGACTCCATGTATGAAATAGACATAGGATAGAAATAAGTTGACTGTAGAAATCATGCATCAAACTTGTAAAATTACTTATAATATAAAAATAGTTTTTCTGAAGTCAAACAAAATGTGGGTAAATATGTATGTGGTTGTGGTGTTTTGTTAGTTTATTTATTTTGACACAGTTTTTTCTTTGCTTAGACTGTGCATATATGAGTGAAACTTTTTTTAATGTATTCTCAGTTTTAAAAGATAACACTTTTATTGAGTTTATCTCAGTTCTGCTAACTACATGAATATATCTATGGACCTTTTTTTGGTAAAAGTATAGAGGTGATTTGCTGTGCATTTAATTATTTTTTGCAGGAACAAATGTGTGAATTTGGAGTTGAACTACTCTGACTCATAGTCCCCAAGTCTTATCAGTTTCTGTCTGAAAAGCTGTTGAAGCAGAAAAATGAGGATTCCAAAGAGTAGTTTTAAATTCTGACTTTATTTCTCACATAGTTAGGCTCCTAATGGCTGTTCTTCCATTACCAGTTTTCCATCTTGTAGATGAGAGCAATGTGAATAGCCATGCCACTGAAGCAATCGTTTTGAAAACTCTGCCTAATACAATTCAGTGGTTTTTCCAAAAATGTAATTGACCTCCCACATTGTAGGATTCTTGATATATTGTAATCTATAAATATGAATGTGTTGCAAAAGCAGACAGCTTAATAGTGTTTGCATATGCAAACAAAAGGGTCTGATAGGGTAACTTCAGTAGAGCGAAAAGGGAATATGATATGCTCTTCATGTCTGAAGTCAATATTTTCCTGTCAGACAGTTTGAAATCCAAGGTGGAAAAATATTGAAATAATAATAGATGGTTCCCTTTAGCTGATGACTCAAACAGTGGATACAAAAGTATTCCTGGAATTTTGATGTTTTTTTTCCCCAAAAAGAATTATAATAATAGTAATAGATCTAAGAAAATTAGCAACTATTTGAGGTTCTGACTGTTGGCCTGATTATTTAGAATTATTGACCCTTTAATTAATTTAGTTGTAATATCAGGAAAAGGAACTACTGATCTTTTCTCTTCTTTTTTCTTTTCTTTTTAGGCTCCTTCATGATGGTGAATAGTTCTGGGAGGGCATCTGGGCAAAAGGCCCACTTGCTTTTACCAACACTGAAGGAAAATGATACACACTGCATTGATTTCCATTACTACTTGTCCAGTCGTGACCGTTCTAGTCCTGGATCCTTGAATGTTTATGTAAAAGTGAATGGTGGACCTCAAGGCAACCCTATCTGGAATGTCTCTGGGCTTGTTACAGAAGGTTGGGTGAAAGCAGAGCTTGCTATCAGTACTTTCTGGCCGCACTTTTATCAGGTATACTTGAGATTTCTTTTCTTTTACCATATTGGTAGGCAACCTGCAGCCTGTGAGCCACTGTGGCTTTTTAAGAGATTAGCAAATTGCTCATTTTCTATTGGGTTTTACTTTGTTATTATTATTTTTTTCAATTTTGCAATTGGAGGTGAGAAAGGGGTGAAATATTTTCTGTTAAACGAACTGCATCCACTAACAATAAATAACTAATTTTAGTCCAATCTTCTTTAGTGGCATTTCTTCATCACAACCTACTCCTTGGGGATCTTTGAGGAGCAGGAAAAGGATGGTAATAATGCAGAATTCAATCTAGATTCTGTCACTGGGATATGACATTTAATCTTCTGAGCTTTCAGATTTGTGCTGGAGCCCAAAGCTCAGAAGACTAAACCTCTGGTGCCAGTGACTGATCCAGACTGGATCTTGCAACATTATCCTGGGGCACTATATTTGCCTTCATTTGTATAGGAATAATAATAAGAAAATTAACTAAAATGACCACAATTCACAAACAAAATATATGAATGTATCCTAACATCATAACCGCTAAAATCTACTGATCTGTACAGTCTTGTTTTCCTTGCCATACAGAGTATCAGACCAATCTCTAATGTGTACACTACATTAAATTGAAATGAGATATTTTTTAAAATCCATCCATTAGGAACCTAAGTAGTAAATATGAAAGGTAGTGCTAGGTTCTTGTAACCTTGGATAGTCAAGCATATTCAAACATTTACAATAGATATTTTTTTTCTCTTAAATTCAGCATGCTTCTTGAATATTACCATTCTTTTTCATCGATAACCATGGTCATATGACTGAAGGAAAAGTGGCACCTAGAAAATTGAGGAGCAGAAAGAAATGGACAGAGACTATCCCAAATCTTGTTTTGGATATGCCTACTTTTGGAATGACTTTTGAAGATTACCATTAAAGAAATAAGACATCTGTTTTTTTTTTTAATCTTCTCTCTCTGAGAGAGAGAAATTAGACAACAAATTAGATAATTGTGTTATGACTGAGCCATTTGTTTGAGAGATGCCAAAATCACAGTGATTAATACCATCTTTTATACAAATCATTTGGAACAACCTGAAAAATGCGTGTGTGTGAGTGAGTGTGTGTGTATCCATATACACATACATATGTATTAATCACTCATTGTGCAAGATAAATTTTTCAGGCTAATGCTATGTAGATCCCCAAAAAGAAGTAGGAAATTAAAATTAAAAGCATGAGATAAAAATAAATACAGGTAAAGGTAGTTGACACTAAAATGCATTGATTTTAGCACTAATTATGTTACTGACTTTGGGTAATGAAATGTCTGCAAGAAAACAGCCAAGTTCAGAGACCACTGAAGACCCTTCACAATACTAAAATGGTTCAGAAAATGTTGTTTCCGCCATGTCTATACATTGCTTCATGCTTTAAATTTCCCACTTTTTTTCTTTTTGTGGATCTCAGCAACTCTATCCAACCATGGCTTTCTTAATATTGCTCTCAATCAATTCAGTCTTCCTTTGTATGTCCTCTGTTATAGAATTAGGACCATCCAACAGCCCTATCCAAAACTTCTAGATTACTGGCAGCTTTTAAAAGCTTTATTCTAGCATAGTGGTTCTCAACCTTTCTAATGCCGTGACCCCATAATACAGTTCCCCATGTTGTGGTGACCCCCGAGTGGGTGTGGCCACCAATAAGAGGGAGTAGGACAGCTAGGGAAAAGGGAAAAAATGGTGGACAGCGTGGTTTGGCGACCCCCGTGAAATGGTCGTTCGACCCCAAATGGGGTCCCGACCCACAGGTTGAGAACCACTGTTCTAGCAACATATGAAAGTTCATCTTTTAGATCTTACATATGAAAGAGCATGGAAATCACCTTGGAGTGCCCTTCAGGATGAATCTTGATGGAATCAAAAATGACACTTCAGGTGTCTCTTATCTCCAGCTCTTTTTATATATATATAAGCAATGCTGAATTGCATCATCTTGATTGCCTCACATATTTTTTCCTTATCATTTGTTAAACTCTGATAGTTAGCCATCTTATCAAGATGTTGTTTTTTATAACCGCTCCATAACCATAGGGAGTTGAAGAATCTTATTAGAAAAAAATATTTTCAAGGATACTATATCCTTTCATAACTTGCCTTGGAGCATCTTGATAACATCTTGTACATGCTTACTTTTCAGGTTTCTTCTGTAGTGCATTCTTTTTAACCATTTATTGTCTGGCCATTAACCCATTCTGTAATATGTTATTTTTTCTGCCATTATAGTTCCAGAGCTTAATTAAGATATAACTGGTTGCATGATTATATTTATTGCTAATACCAATTTTTAATGCATACATGCACTTTTTAGAGGAGATTCTTTGGAAAGGATTTAATGCATATATCTACATAAGTAAATTTGGGGACAGGGTGGGTTGCTCTGTGGAATGCAGGTAGTCCTTGTTTGGCAATTGCCTTGTTTAATGACCATTCAATTACAGTGGTTATGATCAATCCTTGCATTTCTGACCTTCACAGGTCTGTAAAGCAAAGGGAAGCTGAAGTAAACATAGTTGTGGTTTCACTTAGCAATCACTGCTTAACAACTGAGTTACTGTACCAATTGTGATTGTTAAACAAGGACTAACTGAAAGCATCTTTTACAGAATCTGAATGCTTTGTACTTAAGTGTGTTAGAGAGATGATTTCTGTATATTTTTCAATTGTTTACTTAATCAGCTTGTTGTCCCCTATGCATTTCAGGTCATATTTGAATCGGTTTCTTTGAAGGGGCACCCCGGGTACATAGCTGTGGATGAAGTCAGAGTCCTTGCTCATCCATGCAGTAAGCATCTCTCCCCCCCCCACTTTCCCTCCTAACCATAGCAATGCATTTCATGTTCAAATGAGTAATTTACCCAATTTAGTCAGTTCTGAAACATTTCCTTTTATCTATTCCAAATCCTTGCGGAGTGGAAGCAATCAACCCTGAATAAATACATAATTTCTCAAGTTGTACAACAAGCAAAGCTGCTTCAAATGTGAAGCAAGTGCCAAAATTTTAAACCATTATTAAAGGGGAATAAAACCCTGATTGTTAAGACCATTGAAGGGAGAGAAATTACAGGGTTTTAGTGATTCCCTATAGAATTAACTTAAAGAGAGAAAGTTGGGGTAGGGAGGAGAATCTTCATGCACACAACTAAGCAAATTAGTGCAATATTCACACTGGGAAAAAAAGGCCTGGAGTGTTGTTCTTTAAAGAAATGTAAATCTTTGCAGTGCCTCTTTGAAAGACGTGTATGTATGTGTGTGTGTGTGTATGTGTATCACTTAAAAAGCATATGATTCATACTGTAAAATAGAGAAATAAATCAAAGATTGTTTTGCTCTATTTCCTAGGCTACTGTATTTCTTTCAGCTGTTCTATTCAGATTTATTTTAAAAGAATTCAATTAGGAATCTATATCAAATTGACATTAAAGATACCCAGTTTATAATAGTAAAGAATAAACTGACACAATATGAATTTGAATTTGAATTTAGGCTATTTTGTATGATCATGGGAATTATCTGACTTTTTTATTTCTATAGAGAGCTTAATAATTAGGACAAAGTAGGCAGACTAAAGCATTTTTAGTCCACCAACAGGGAGAAATTAAGTATAGATTTTTAGATAAATTCCAGAAAATTTACCAGAGTTAATTTCTCGATTCATTTTGGCCCATGCAACCTTGCTTCAACTTACTTTGTCAGTGTAGGTATCTCTGAAGGGATAAATGACATATCCGTGACAACGTCATCATGGAAATGTTTTGACTTATGCATCTGGGTCAGATGTCGAAACATCAGTGTAAAATAGTGACATTTATGTGATGATGTTACCATGTGCATGTAGCCATGTTGGCATTATCACAGTTTGCTACAATTATTGCTGTGTTCATTTATTTAAGAAAATTTTGTGGCCTCTCAACTCACTCATGGTGATTCTGTGTTATAAGGGTTGTTACTGAAAGGACAAAATGATGAATAGCCTCATCTACAGAGTCATGCAAATAATGCAAATCAACTGTGGATACATTTTTACTCTTGCAAAATGAAACTGGAACTCTTGAATCAAACTGCTCTAAGTTGGTTCCAAAACTTTCATCTAATCAGTGCATTTTAATCCCATTATTAATGTGTGATGAAGACGTTCGTTGACCTTTAAGAATTATCAGAATATTCTTGGAAAATCATGGCATAGTGAATCATAAATTTCAATAAATTCATATATCTTGACCATCCTAGTGCAAAACATTTAATGGGATGCCTGTGTCACAGTCTTCTCTTCCTGAGAAAGTTGTGGCAATCTGACTATTCTATTCTCTGTTAGTAAATTTAAGCATCAGTCTGATCTTTATAGGAAGGATATTGATAAACTGGTAATTCAGTGTTTTATGAATGCTTACCAAGCACCTGGAGACTTTTTTTCCCCCACAGGCTTTGTCTCCATGCTTTCCTGATACACTTAAATTCAAATGTGATGATATGATAATTATAACTGCAATTATTGCAAAAAGGAACATGAGGTGGTATTTTAAACATGAGTTTTGAATGTAAGAATGAGCAGTCCATACATACTGTTATGTCCCGAGCCTTTGCAAACGGCTCGGGCGTTTGCAGGCAGTCCCGGGCAGGTGCAAAGCTGCCCGGGACCAGACAGGCTGTCGCCAGCGCCGTGCGCATGCGCGGGTGCTGGCGCGGGAAAAGTAACCCATTTACCCGGGAGTTGCCTATATAAGAGGCTGCGAGGCGTTTGGGCGAGGCTGAAGCCATCTTCCTGTAAGCTGAACGCTGAATAAAAGAAACTGAGAACTCCAGCTGCTTCTCGTGTCTGTTTTCCCGCCACGGACTCAACACTGGCGACGAAGGTGGGATGCCTTGCACTACCTGGAAAGGAAGAAGTGTAAGCTTACCCAAGGAGTCCTGAGTGGCGGAAGAGGAACGGCGTCGACTCGGCAGCTGCCCGCCAATCCGGTGCGCATTCGGGGGTAGGCTGGCTGATAGACCCGTCTCCTGAAGATCCGAAGATGGCGAAAATCGGAAGGCTTTCAGAATTCGACGTCTCACATCCAGAGCGGTGGGAGTCCTACGTATCCAGAATGGAGAACTACTTCAAGGCAAACCAAGTGAGGGAAGATAGCTTGAAGGCTGCCACCCTGCTTTGCGTTTGCGGCCAAGACGCCTTCGAATCGCAGAAAACCTTGCAGCACCTGTTCCAGTAGAGTCTGTAAGCTACGCAGACCTGAAGAAGCTGCTGAAGGAGCATTTCCACCCCAAGGTGTCCGTTATCTCATGGCGCCACACCTTCGAACAAAGGGATCAACGGTCCGGTGAGTCAGCCAAGGAATACATCGCCGCGTTACGGAAGGCCGCCAAGCCCTGCGAGTTCAAGGACCTCGAGGAACGACTGAGGGACCGATTCGTGTGCAGGTTAAGGCATCGAGAGCTACAACAGAGACTTTTTGCTAAGGAAGAATTATCCTTCCAAGACGCCTTAAGGGAAGTCACCGCAGAAGAAGCAGCAGGCGGCGCCGTCAAGAACATGCGGCCGATCAGAAGCAGTGCAGAGGGTGCGTCCGTGCACCAGGAAGACGTCCGACGAAACTCCGAGGAGGATCCGGACGAAGAAGTCGACCGTCTACACCCCGCGAAGGAAGAGAACCAGAAGGGAAGCTCTTCGGCTCCGCTCAAGTGCATCGGCTGTGGAGGTCGCCACAGGAGAACCGACTGCAAGTTCCGCTCCGCTACCTGCCGGGCATGCGGCAAACAAGGGCACATTGCAGCTGTGTGTCTGGGCCGACGAAAGGCACAACCCAAGAAGAACGCCTGAAGGGTACCAGATTCCCCAGCCAGAATAGGGTAGGGTTTTGCGCTTCGCGAAGAAGCATCTGTAGACAGGCACACACAAGCCCATGAAGAAAAAGCTGTCACTCAACGTGAAGCTACAAGGGGTTCCATTATCTATGGAACTAGACACAGGGTCTGCCCTTTCCATTATTTCATTGCATACATTTAGGAAGATTTGTTCCAGTAGTGGGACTAAGGCCAAGTTAAGGCCTTCTGATATTGTATTAACAGATTTTCAGAACTCAAGAGTGTGTGTTAAGGGGGAGGACACCCTTAACGTGCAATACAAGAGTTTTGAAGGTCCACTAGACTTATTAGTAGTAGGGGGTGAACGAACGAGTCTCATAGGACTCGATTGGTTTGAGGCCCTGGGGATACACGTCACAGGACTCAACAGCTTACAAACACTCGACCTACAGGAAGTCTGCAAAGAATTTGCAGATGTTTTCAGCCCCCAGCTGGGCACATTCAAAGGACCACCTGTGTCCTTAAAGCTAGACCCCACTGTCACTCCCATTAGGATTAAAGCAAGAAGGGTCCCTTTTGCTTTAAAAAGTAAGATTGACACTGAACTAGACAAACTAATCCAACAGGGAATCCTAGAACCTGTTGATTCCAGCCCGTGGGAGACCCCCATTGTCACGCCTCTAAAGGCAAATGGGGACATTCGCATTTGTGCTGATTACAAATGCACACTCAATAAGGCATTGCAGCAACATGCCTATCCTGTTCCTGTGGTCAGTCACATCCTGGCCTCTCTCAAGGGGGGGCGTGTTTTTGCAAAGCTTGACCTAGCTCAAGCATATCAACAGCTGCCTGTTGATGATGATGCTGCCATAGCTCAGACCATTGTGACCCACAGGGGAGCCTTTAAGGTAAAAAGGCTACAGTTTGGAGTGAATGTCGCTCCTGGGATTTTCCAAAGCGTAATGGAAAACACACTACGAGGTATACCAGGGGTCTGCCCCTACTTTGACGATGTCTTGATTGCAGGAGACTCCACACACATTCTAGCTGAAAGGCTTAGGGCTGTCCTGTTAAGATTCAGGAAATCAGGCCTCAAGCTCAGAAAAGACAAATGCAAGATTGGGGTGCCTTCTACTGAATTTCTGGGATTCAAAATTGATGCTGCTGGATTCATCCTGCTGAATCCAAACTAACTGCTATTTTAGAAGCACCCAGGCCAAAGTCTAAGGCCGAACTTCAGGCCTTCTTAGGCCTCCTGAATTTCTACAATTCTTTTCTTCCACATAAAGCTAGTGTAGCTGAGCCTCTTCACAGGCTACTAGACAAACAAGCTGTGTGGCTGTGGTCACAAGCACATGAGGCTTGCTTTAAAGAAGTCAAGGCCTTGCTCACTTCTAACAGTGTTCTTGCACATTTCAACGAGTCTCTTCCTGTGTGCATCGCTTGTGATGCGTCCCCCTACGGGGTTGGAGCTGTCCTGAGTCACCTCAGGTCTGATGGAACTCAGGTTCCTATTGCATACTACTCCAGAACACTGTCTTCTGCCGAGCGCAACTACGCTCAGATAGACAGGGAGGCTCTGGCTGTTGTTGCTGGAATTAAAAAATTCCACGATTTTCTATATGGCAGGCATTTCACGGTCTTCACTGACCATAAGCCTCTGCTGGGACTGTTTACCACACGTAAGCAGACTCCCCACATCATTTCCCCTAGAATGCTTAGGTGGTCTATTTTTTTGTCTGCATATGATTTTTCATTACTCCACAAGCCTGGGAAAGAAATGGGCCATGCTGATGGCCTCAGTAGGTTGCCCCTGCCAGTAGTAGAAGCTGACCCCGCGCCAGCTGTCAACATTCTATCAATCCAAGCCTTGCCCGAGAGCTTGTGCCAGGATAGGGATGTTACCGCTGAAACAGGTACAGATCACACACTTTCACGTGTCCGTTCCTGGGTTTTGTCCGGGTTGGCCTGAGCACTGCCCTAGTC